AAAAGTCAACATCCCTTTGGCAGTGACACATAAAAATAGTAGTCTTAAAAATATTAAACTACTCGGTAGCACATTTTTAACAGCCCCAAAAATTCAGTTTGAATTGAAGCTCTAAATTCCCATAAAACGTACTGTATATAAAAATAAAAAAAATAAAAAGTTGAAGTAATTCAGTAGGCAGCTGAGTGGCTGAGTCTTACTCTGCAGGCCATCACTTCAGCTGACACCGAGGGTGAACAATGGTAACGTTCACAGCTGTTGTCAAGCTGTGATGAATAGCTTCAGCTAACTACTAAGGAATAATGCTTAAAACAGAAAATGAATCCAAGTCGTGAATAAATGTATTAAACATTTGTGTTGTGCCTGGTCAGCACTGATCCCAGTTAGCTCAAGGAAGGAGGGAAGGCCGGGGGGAAAAAAAACAAGAGCGGGCGAGTGGTATAGTGGCACTCAGCAGCTCCACAATACCCCATTAGTCTTCATTTTCAGCAGGACATGCAACAGGGCCCTTACGTCTTGAGGAACAAACTAAAATTTATTGGGTCGGCCAGTTCGGGCTAATTGAAAGAAATTGTCTGTCTGTTTGCTTTCCATTAGGTTTGTAGAGGGTGGTGGGTCGGGGCGGGGTGATGATCTGGGGCCTGAGCTTGTTGCCCTCTGCTCGTCAACCCGGCCTGGTTTCCTGTTAATGGTTTGATCCATGAGCGCCCTCCACTGAGCCAGACAGTCTAAGCTGTGGGAATAATTTAAGGAGGAATCGTTTAGGGAGGATTTATGAGATGCATTCATTCTGAAGTGTGTACAGGCAAACAGACTTCGATCGGTAATGGCAGCTCAGTTGTGGTTTACGGCGCAGTTTCTGCACTTGGTGTAGTTTTGGTTCACTCCTCTCCCAGAGTGCAGACCTACTGATTGTGACTGATCATCTCGGCCCTGTTATCTTGAAATATTGTTTTAGATGAAACACCAGGAACTTCCATAAATGTTGATGAGGGATTATAGCTGGTTTTACTGCAAGTGATTAGGTTATTGGTATATTGCTTATCATTATTATAGTTTCGATACAGTTGGAGGAAATTGTGAATTTAGGCTTGACATCTGAAGGTCACAGTTTCTATCTTTGTCAGAGTACTTGAGCAAGACTTTATAATCCTACCTGATGCAGCAGCCAGTTCAAATGACATGTGTGGTCATTGCTATTGTTCCTCTGTCAAAAAGGAAGAATAATTGCAGATAAAAGATATACTGTATACTTTGTTTCTCTCTATATAAATCTACAGACATGAGTAGTGTATCGCAATTGGCTGCACTTCCATTAGATCTTGCAGAGCTACTTTCTAATTCAAATTTGACCTAACATGCTTACCCTAGTTGCGTGCAGATGCAGTTTTATATTGCAGTGTATAAACAAAATAAAAATGGACACTCTTGTGAAAAACGCGTTTAGTGAATTCATGTGGCAACTTGAACATCCCAAAAACATCCTGTAAACTAATCCCATTATTGACAAAGAAACATCTGAGTTCTCCTAAACAAGAGTCAGTTTTTGCATTCATACTCTCTAGAGATAATTAAAGTGAGAATAAGACTTTCACTAACAATATGACACAATGCATGCTTATCAAATGCATCCTCATTGTAAACAAGAGATTTTAGTGGAACGGATTGGGGAAAATTATTCCCTGGCTTGGCATACCCATTGCTAAATGCCAATGTCACACACTATGTATTATATATGTAGAGAATAAGACAGAATATGATAAACCAGAAGGCAACGCACTGCAGAACATCTACGAAAGCTCTAGAGAAGCCTTCATAGGTGCATATCAAATATATGATAAATAGCACCCGGAATATCAATTATATGGGATGCTATAGGACATCACAGTTGCACTCTGCCAATTCTGGATGTAAATACAAACCATGAAATCAATTTCTATAGGAGAGCTGGTTGTATTTAATTGCGCATTAAATCTGGCATCTAATGCTGAATATGTTTAATATTTATTGAGTAATGTTTGCCATGCCCAGTTTGTCTATGTACTTAAAAAAAAAAAACATTGTGACTCCACTTATGATAAAAGAGAGGCCACAGTTTGACTTAAAAAGGAATCTGTGGCATTAGTTGGACAGAGAAAGGCCAGAAAATCTCAGTATCATTATGTGTCGCAGTACACTGTATCTAGCATTCACAAAGCGCAAACCGAATGACCCAGCTGCCTGTTAGACGGGTGACAGGCATTCAGCTAAGTTGCAGTAACAGACAGTCAAAAACATAATCCACAACTGCCAAAAACACTTTGACAACTTATGGCTGCTGCCTCCTCTTCCTCCTCTTCTCTGCCACTGGTTAGATAAACTCTCTGCCTCTCCGTATCCAACCTCACCTCCCTCTCTGCTCGATTATAATTGCTCACATTTAACAGCTGAGCTTCTGAATCCTGAGGAGCAATGAGGATGAGGAGGAGGCAGCACGCACAACAACAAAAAAATAAATAAAAATGCATGCATCTCTAGTGGAAATTGACTGGCACCGGTGTTTAAAATAATAAGATGCAGCTGTTGATAGTAGCGACTGTCTCCAGGTTTACTTCCCCGTGGCCCCTGTGGCAGCAGAGGAGCCGTGATGAAGGCAGACAGCTGACAGGTGCTCCAGGATGATGCTGCCATCAGGTGCATCTGCTAAACTTAACTCGAGACGGGAGAGGAGAGATATGGAGAGGGAGGAAAAGAGAGCGAAAGAGAGCGAAAGAGAGCGAGATGCTCGGGCGGGAGAGCGAGTTGGGGAGAAGGAGAGGAGTGGCCACAAAATATGAGGAAAAGAGGTTTAAAGCAAAAAAAAGAAGAGGATGGTGAAGGATGGTGAGCCCGCGAGAGAGGGAGAGAGAGAATACGTGTGTGATTGTGTACGCAGTGTGTATGATTGTGTGCACCTTGAAACTTTGCCAGCCCCTTCCTGTAAAGAAATTCACAGGATGTCTTTGAACCTACGAGGCTGACGGAATAGGTGCCTCTCCGTCTAGACACTGACACTCTGAAGGGCTAACAAGTTTACTGAGCAGGTCAGGAGATGGGGAGACACTGGGGGAAAGGTAATAAGGGGAGATAATGAGCAGGTGCAGAAAATGATGGAGAGGAAATAGCAAGAAAAAATAATGAAGAAATTAAATAAAAGAAGGTGCAAGGGGGGAAAAGGCAGCTTGTCAGGAAGTAAGTGTGAGTGTGAATATAAGGTGTTTGTGTGTGTGTGTGTGAGAAATAAGGTATGTGCTGTTGCCATATGTTTATATATTGCTGCGTGCATCAGCACTTTGCAACTACTATACACACACACCTTCCAACTCTTGTGTCAGAAATGCAGTCTGGGTCTGACTATACAGCCATAATGGATTCACTCTGTGTGCTGCTCTGACAGTGGTGACGCTGACGGTGTATCTGACTTTAATAAAAAGGTGCAGCGGGCACAAGTCAGGAGCTGAGGCAGGGATTTGAACCCCCTTGAACCCCTCCTGCTGGAGGAGGGGCCCCCTCACCAAACTCGAGGCCAACCAGATGAAGTGCTGCACTCGTATCACGATTCAGTTCTGGGCCGAGCAAAAGGTGACGGGGAGTGTAACCAAGGAGCTGATCTGCCCCTCTCTTCCTTTTCTCATGCTTGTCTACCTTTCTCTCTCTCCACACACACACTGATAAACAAATGCACAGCAGTGTGGAAGGAGAGGAGCCTGACAGAGCCCAGTGCATTGCAGGTAGCCCGACAGAGTGGCTGGGAGTGCTGTCACCAATTTGTTCTTAGCCATGGGGGACATGCAGGGGATGGAGAGGCGATGGCAGCTCCCTGTCCTCATCATGGCTAATGAGGCCCAGGCTTCTCCTTCTTCCTCTGTGTGTGTATGTGTGTGTGCAAGATCGTTTGTATCAGTTCGTGTCACAGTGCTGCCAAAGCTCCTATTCCTGAAAAACTGGGGCTGATATCTGGCACAGACCACCATACACTCTTAGTTCTCCTTATACAACTCTCCTGACTGAATTATTTACCGGGCCAAGAGGCACACACGTACACACACACTCACACACAAAGAGAGATAAGGTCTTGTTCGAGGCAGCTACCATTCAATACACTGCAGTTCTTCAGGGACACTACACCAGCTGAGGTTTGCTCGCTGTGCTGGCTGACCCATCAAACCTTCAAGGAAAGACAGAGGGAGGACAGGAGGAAAGGGAGAGATGGTACCATACCTGCTGTGATAAAACAGCCAGAAATAATGAATTCTTATGAGGACAAAAACTGGTCAGTGTATGATGACCTAACCCCTTAGGAAACACATGGTGCGTCATCATGGCAGTGTTTTATTTAAACCTTAATCATATAGTTTTTTTCAAGCCTTTGTTTATAAGTATTATTCAGGTATCATGTGTAACATAACATTTTTGTAATTTCACTAAATGCGTCCACTGACTTCTTCATTGCCTTGTAGACATCAATCTGTCACACTCTACAACATTTGAGGAGTGATGCTTCTACTTGTGAGATGATGCTTGTAACTATCTTGAAGACAATTACAAAGACATTCAATCTTACGAGAGATGTGAACTGTACGATGTGGTTGTATCAGAGGACTGGAGAAAGAACAGCACTGTATTTGTAGTTCAGGAGCTCCCCAGTGTGGTAAAAAAGAAGAAGTGTAACCAAAGGTTGTGTTTTTAACTGCTTTTTCCCCCCTCACCTCACATACATCATATATATATATTAGGTAGAAAAGAAATGCAACAATATAATTGCAGTAACAAATACTGGAAAACCTGAGGGGGGAGTACAAAGCAGCTTGGATATTCTAACTGTCATCCCTCTGATAAAAAAATGGGTTAAACAGTTGGAATCTGCAGTGTCTATAACAAATAAAAATAGTTGTTGAAAAAAAAATCTCTGTGACTAGTAAATACGACCTAATTGACTTATGGTACGATAATGGTATTTCATAACAAAAACACACAAAATATAATAGAGAACATCCCTTTTAATAGTTAAATACAGACACAAAAAAAACCTTCACAAAGCAACAGTCTTCATCCATAGCTTGCAATAACCTACAATCAGCTTCACTCAGAAATTGATGTACTCCCAATTAATGCATGGGCAGCAAATTTGCAAAATTAAAGAACAAGATGGAGAGAAGATGGGGAGAAAAAGAGAGGAGAGGAGAGGAACAGCAAAGTGATATAAGGGGAAAGGAAAATGGATGCCAGGAGAGACGCTGAGAAGGAAAAATAAGAAGCAAGCAAAACAGCAGAAAATAAAAACAGGGTAGGAGAGAGAGAGAGAGAGAGAGAGAGTGTGAGCTAAGTATGGACAGAAAAGGGGAGAGAGGGGGGAGAGAGGGGAGAGAACCCAAATAATTCTGCTGATTCACATAACACCAGAACATGGCCTAGTCAGCTAACAGCGAACAGTGGAGGAGAGATCAGCTTTTTCCACTTGTCCCCACGGGGAACATTCACAGCACTGAGAGACAAACCTGCCTACTGAAAGATATTATGACTACAACTTAAAATCCCTGATCATAAATCTGATTGTAAATAAATAGTTTTTAGCTTTTTCAGCCTTTGTTTCTTGTTTTTGGAATGCACATATATTAAGGCATGACATATGATACACTTAAACTTCAGACTATTTAATCCTACATTAACACAATTTAACACTTTGATTCTGTCACAACTGGAACTAATGTAGCAAACATTTTCCCTGAATTCACGACAACTGAGAAACGACGAGGCATTTCTAGATGCAGGCAATGAGTAAGAATGTATACACGCGTTTTAATTATGGCCATTAACAGTCAGGATGTCTGTTGCCTAATGAGACGGCGGAGGAGTAGAGAAGGGTCATCAGGGTGCAGGTGTGGGCGGTTTAAAGAGACCAGTCTTTCTGAAGTAGCGCACGATGAGAGGTACAGACACCAGAGTGATGCTGATGCGAACTGGAGCAAAGAGCTTGTGGATGGCGTAGGCCAAGACGAACGTGCTCGTCCCTGCTGCCATTTTAGACCGAACGACCGCCTCGCTGAAGCCCAGTTTGCACAGCACGGCTGTCATATCGATCCCACTGGGGAGACAAATGACACAGAAAAGTAGTCAGAGGCACAGAGAATTCACATATTAGCCAATCACTCACATTTTATTCCTACAGTTTTCCTTTTTATTAAATGACTAACAGCCCGCTACACCCAATCATAACCCAACATTAGGCAAATTTATATATATTAAACAAATATTAATAACAAAATGAATTAAAATCAGGAACAATGAACAGATACAATGAACAAAACACAGACGTGAAATGAATAAAGACTACATTTAAATAAGAGATGTTATGATAGACTCAATATATTGAGAATGTGTGAACATAACAATAAAAATAATAATAACCATATATTTGGACATTCAGCAACCTCAGCCATACCCTCATGCAATGTATTAATAACAAGATTGTCTATAGACTGAGTCTGGGTTACTACACTCCAAAAAAACATTTCCAAAAAACTAAAAGGAAAAAAAATCAGTGTTTTAAACTTTGAGGTGCTTCAGAGCCCAAAAAGTGTCCCCCCTTGCTGGAGCAACTCTTCTTTGTTACAGCTTAGCCTTTGGTCCCGGATGGTTGCATCCTCGAGGATTTCAAGAGATTACATATGAAAGTAAACAAATAGAGTTGTTGTAGAAGTGCAAATCACCTCATCTCCACCAGAGGGAGCTGTGTGCAATAAAAAATGTTGTATAATAGTTTATTTTACAGCCTTTTGACCCATTTAAACTGATTAGCATAAGAACCACTGCAAGCATGAAATTACACAAATCAAAGCGGGCTTAACAAGCTACATGTATCACTGCCTTTGTGGAGTTTTGTAGAGCCGTGGCATTTTCATCTGAGCTATTCGGGGCAATAAATATGTAAAGAATGTGCTAACACGAGGCTTAGAGCCACTTCAATCAATACAGCATCTCTCTCTCACATTAACAGCTCTGTTGCACTCAGCAAACTTTAGTCAGCTAAATATAAAGATCCATCTGCACCCTGACAACTGTTTGCCCAGCACACAGCACTGTATTAGCAGGCCACATGCCTGGGCACTGTGGCTGCACAGTGATAATGCTCAACGGTTGCTAGCTACAGAGTCAGCTTTCACTTTAAGGGCCATTATCAGCTATACAAGGAAATCTCTAAGCTCTCAGATAATCTCTGCCAAGTCTCTCTGGTATTCAAGCCCTTGGCATGTGGCCAGACAGACAGACAAGGGCCTGAAAAATTGTCTGTACTGGTACACTTGCCAAAATTAAAGTTGTGCTGCACTGCTTCAGCTTTCCACTGTCTGTCACCATCAATAGGTTACAAAATGCATGAGATTGTTGAATGTAGTGTCAAAGATTTTAAATTCTGCATGTGCTGTTGTAAAGTTACAAGTCTAAAAAAAAAAAAAAAAAAAAAGATGCAAGATGAGAAAATGAACTCATGTTTTATTCAGGCGCTCAACATGATTTTAGTGCCCGTGTCTGATTCAGCTCAGTAGTAATATTTCAACAACAGCCGGGCCGGTGTAATGTGGATGACTGAGTGGACATTTTCAAGAGCCCGTGCTTTGCCTCTCTTTCATAACGGGTCCCATTTGCTGCCAATTTGCACCAGACATTTTGCATTCCTCTGTGTAAAAGCCCCACGGGTCAGTAATTTCCTGTGTACATCTTTAGGTTTAAAGGAAATGTTGCACTCGGATGCTCTCACACTGCTGGATAAAATCAGTAAGTGATGTTTGATGCGTTCCACTTATTTATCTTCAGCCTGCTTCATCTTATTCCAGGCAGTGATTTCCTACATTTCCCCAAATACTTTGAAAATACTCAGGAGGAGTTTCATGTGTTTGCTTTTATATAATTTATGTGGACTAGGGCTGTGCGATATGACGATCTTTATCGTATGGAGATAGAAAAAAAGTCCATTTCATATGTTACTAATTTATTCATTTATTTTGTTGTGTCACAAATTTCACTCTTCCAGAAATCATATGAGAAATATATGTGCGCTGAAGGGGTTGAGGCAGGGATGCAATGCAAAACAAGCATTTCACTAGCCTTTACTTACAATAATGTGATGTTTTGTTACCTGGATATGAGGAGATAGAACATTCCCAGGGACATGAGGGAAATGCAGATGTGAAAGGAAACTCCCACTGCTCCATATTCTTTGAAGACTTTCTTTAACTGCTGGGTCTTGTTGGGTTTTCCTGCCTCTGCCTCTGGCTTCCCAGGGGCATTCAAGGTGGATGAGGAGGTTGTAGAGGCCTCCTTTAAATTCTGCTCCTCCTGGACAAAAAAAGGGAGAGCAAAATAGGTGGAAGTGAGCAAGACAAAGAAAGATTGTGTCTGTAAGACAGACTGTACATCCAGACAAAAACAGATAGGCGATGAGAATGGCAAAGAGGTAGTGGATTAAAATTGTGGGGATGGTTTCCACTCTGCATACAAAATCGTGACATTTGTCACATTCATATTCCACAGGCCTCCTCAAACTACAAAACTGACGAGCTCCAAGATGGAGATTTTGACAATTTGTTGGATTAAAAACACACAAGGCAAAAAAGCTCCGACAACAAACCAATTATAAGCTTTAATATACACTTGACATGGGTTATGTGTTAGGTGTTAGTATGTTGTATACTTTACTGCCGAAAGAAAGCAGAACAAGTGGTGACACCAAAGCGTGACATCAATTTGTGACTCTTGTCTAAACATAACACTCGCTGATAGAGACCTAAAGGAAAGCACTTGCAGATGAAGTATGTAAAAATTCAATGTATGACCTTTTAATCTTAATGCCAGGGTTACTGCTGTTTGCATTTGCAAGGTAGACCCACTCGGAGCTCTAGAACAATATCTGGTTACACAATTTATCAAAACAAACGTTTTTGTCTTTGAAGTCCAGAATTTCCTATTCTTGATGCTCTGCAGAATCACCAAACAAAAGATGTATGTTGAAGTTAAAACTGAGCTGCAACAAACTAAAAATATTTTTAGTTCAGATGTAGGAACGCATGTATCATCATAATGTAGAAATGAAATACTGTATGCTGTGATTGTGTCATCTAGTAGTCCAAAGTTGAGGTCAAACAAAGCATGGACTTTTATGGCCTTCCTCTATTCATCATACCACCAAGTCAGCTGATTAAACACTGAGTGCTGCTGTGTGGTTTTAAGTAATTCACTTTATCACTCACCCTTTCACACACACGCGAACAAAGTCTGTCACTCTTTCTGACAAAAACCTACACACAAAGTGCACAAATACACACATTATTCTGTGTCTGTGACCTCCAGACACACCACTCTCCAAGATGAACAAGCACGAGACACAATCCAGCTGTCTGACATGCAGCAGGGAGCAGGAAGGTCACTCCAGTGTGCGCTGGCAGTGAAACAGATTAGTGAACTACAACACAGTCAACAACAATAAGACCACCACTGCAGACAACAGACCACCACAGAGCTCGATGGTGTAGACGTGACTCACAGAGCAGCTACTGAATCTAAAAGGGAGAAAGCCTGCAGTATGTTCATAGTACGGCATGTAAATAAACATAATCCTACCTCCGACTAAACCCTGCAGGGCTGCATTTCACAGTAGTATGTTTAATAGAGCAGAACCTGAATAACAGGTACAACAGTGCTTTAAAAAAAAAAAAAAAA